ATATATATATATATATACTTTTTTTATTTTTTTATTTTTTGGTATTTATTGTGGATACAAAGAGTTAATTTATTGTTTGAGAGAAGAAGTGACCTTTTGTGGCTGACCTGGTTTCATATGTAGAGTTTCAAGGCCCTATCACACAGTAACATTTTGCACAATATGTCTGTTACATGTTGTTATTGCAGACAAACAACTGTGAGGTAATAAAATATTCAGTATTATTACAGTTTTTATTTTTAGTTGCATATAATCTAAATTCATAGAACCAGATCAGCTGACTTCCTGTACTCGCAGCAGCAGCTGTTTGTCCGTCCACAGCGTTGTTAATGTCACAGTGTTCAGAAGCCTCTGACCTTTTGTGTGTTCCTGTGCTGTGAGGCGCCACAATCACAGGAGTTTGTTTTAAGGGCCGGAGACATCTGGAGAAGCAGACAAAACACTGAGCATTGTTACCCGTTCAAAACGGAACCAGTCAGCTGGGAGAAAGAAAGGAGTCGTTACTGTTGCTATACATGATTTCCGTCTTTAGTTAGAGCTCCAAACAGGATACTGGAGCATGAATGTTCATCACTTATACTCTGGCTACGAATGGATGACCACAGACCTAGAGCTCCGTATATCCTCTGACTTGTTGGTTGCTTTGGCAAATATGTTGATGATCTTGCTCCTGCAGCTCATTTACAGCTTTCAGAGCTTATTGGGAGCTGAGCATGAAACGTTGTGCACTTCAGACGCCTGCTTCACGCTGCACCACGAGGAGCTGAACTTCGAGAAGGCCCAGCAGAACTGTCAAGACAACGGGGGCAACCTGATGACCCTCAGAGACCAAAATGAAGAGTCCAAGCTTCTCGAGCTGGTCAAAACGCATCACAGCAAAAGGCTAAAAATTTGGATCGGACTAAAACGGAACAAGAAGGAGTGCATGCTGGCCGACAAGACGCTCAAAGGGTTTAAATGGATCTCAGGGGAGGAAGATTCCCAGTACTCCAACTGGAAAAAGGAGCCTACATCCACATGCGTGGAGAGATGTGTGAAGGTTGATTACACATCTTCAGATCCAAATCAGCTGCAATGGACTGAAGCAGCGTGCAAAACCTCAGCCTTCTATGCATGTAAGTTCTCGTTTAGGGGGATGTGTAACCCTTTGTCTCTGCTGGGGACAGAAAACATTGAATATGTTGCTCCTTTCTCCATAGAGCCACTGAAAAGTACGATTCAGTTACTTCCAAAAGGAACATTTGCAGTTATTTTCTGTGGTAAACAAGAGTTGGGCTACTCGGTGTGCAACGATGTGAACAATACTTACAACTGGAGTGAGCCTGGCCCATTCTGCCAACTAGAAAAGCTAAACTGTGGCATCAACAATGGCGGATGTGAACACTTGTGTCTTCAGGAGGCAGATGATGCTCGTTGCTTCTGTAAAGAAGGCTTTGAGCTGGAGGAGGACATGTTTTCCTGCAGGTTAATGGATCTCTGTGGTCCTAACTCCTGCGAGCATCAGTGTGTGATGGGAGAGTCGGGGATAAACTGCAGATGTCCAAGCGGGTTCGAGCTGAGCGAAAACCAGTACAACTGCTCCGACATCGACGAGTGCCAATCAGAGATCTGTCAGGATCATGTGTGTGTAAACACAGATGGAAGCTACAGGTGTGTGTGTAAAGATGGCTATGAAATGGTCGATGGTGAATGTAGAGATGACGACGAGTGTGCATCGTCAGGATGCGAGTACGACTGCTGGAACAACAACGGATCCGTTTCTTGTTTCTGCAGTGAAGGGTTTGTTTTATCCCAGGATGGACACTCGTGTGAGGAAGTTAACAATTGTGTCAGTAACCCATGTTTGAGTGAGTTTACGTGCATCAGTACTGTGGGAAGCTTCATGTGCATCAATCAGATGAAGACAAATGTGTCGACCGAGACCGCGCACGTGTCCACCCCTGCCGCCCCATCATTTGAAGAAACACAAGACAATTTCCCAGAGTCTTTAACCAGAGCCACAGTGGAGCTCCAGCACCAGTCCCCTCACACCGATGCTCCACACGTGGACCTCGTTAACGTGACTGACCACGATTATAGCAACCAGTCCTTAGCAACAAATCAAACCAAGTCCGGCAACTCCAAGGTGATCATCTGCATCCTCGGATCTGTCATCCCTGTGCTCCTGTTGCTCACCTTGACTCTGGTCATCATCCTGTTTCGCTGCAGTCGCACCAAAAAGGAGGTGAAGAAGAAGACCACTGCTGATGGGTACTGCTGGGTGTCTTCTGGTTTGGACCCACGTCTTGAGAAACTGTACGAGTCCATCCTGACTGATGACCTATGACCTAAAAGAGAAAACAAGACTGTGTAAATTTCTATTTATGTAATTTATGTTTTTGTAAGTAATTACATATCACATATAAATGCTCACTAAACAGTAACTTGCCTTTGAATGGCTTTTAGAAGCAAACATATCTAAAAGGAAACTTGTGGCCATTTTGATAGTATAGATGCTGAGAGCTCTGTTGATAATTGCTTCCTTTTATTGTATAAAGGGTTCTGGGTGTGGAGGTGTTATTGTGTGGACCGGATGGTGCCTGTTATTTTTCAGCAAAGTTAACAATAGAGCAAAATGCACACACTCAACAGATTTTATCTGGGTTATGATGGTAGAACACATTATAAATCCGATTTTTTTTGTGTGATTTTGTTACTAAGTGTTTGAACATGCCATTACCTCCATAAACATGTTAGTTTTCAAAATAAATTAAAGACAGATTGAACATTTCAGAATATAAAAGATATTTCCAGATCTCTGACTTTAAAGGTACCCATTGCAAAGGATGAAATCAAACATATCAAAACATATATCCTGAACTGTAATGGTGGTGTTTGAAAAAGTTTCCAGTACAGTTTTCAAAACTGTGGTATCAACAATGGTGGGAACGACTCAGTGTAAAGAAACTAAACTCAACACAAACCACGTGGAAGCGTGAGTCGTGTGGTTGACCTTCGTTAGCCTGGCATTAGTCCGTGTAACAAATATGGACGCTCAGTTTATTGTTTGATTTATTTTCAGTCACTTTGGCTGTTTCTGGTAAACAAACATGTGGTAATTGGCATCTGGTCACAATGTTTTCTAAAACTTGAATGAATTTTTTTCTATTTAAGAACACATTAACCATAGATATGACAAAATGTAATTTTTGTTTCCTTCTTTGTTTAGTCTGTGTTTATTTTAGCAATGAGTACTTTTTTTTAATTAGCAGCATTGAAGCAATTTTAAATAAACAAAACTGCAAAAGTCATGACACTTCTTATTTTAATATATTTAGCTCCCAAACAGTCAAACACTCATGGTTATCGAGCATCCAAAGTCCAAAGAAATATTGAAAGACGTTTAGAAACCTGGACTCTAAAAGATTACAAGTCTGGCTGCTTGGAATCAAAATATGAAACATCAAAAGTGGGATCAAGACTTTTGCACAGTTCTGAAAGTGGTACTGTCTTGTTGAGGAAGCACAGCAAAGCACTATGTTTTACTAATTTACTACAGGTATAAATGAACAATTAATTAGTTATACTACAAAACAAGTACTAATGCTAATAAATGTGCATCTCATCAGTCATGTGACAACAAACTAAATAAATAAACTGTTTTGATATGTGAACACGTGGGTTGTTTTTGGTATTTGGTTACATTTAGTGGCAAAAATCATCTGATCATAATTCATATTTTCATAGATGGCCCCTGAAGTGTGT